GGGGAATGAAGATGTTGAAATTTTACATGCCTTCTGTATTAGTCGATTTAATTTTTCTCTATCTTGTTGTCTTGTGTTCCCGGCCTATGCTGTTAGAAACACACATACAGCATGGGAAGCAAATTGTCAAATGAATTCGAGATTGGGAAGGAAGGTAAGGACCAAATTTAAGAAGGTTTACTAACTTTTGTGCTAAAGCACACTACAGGCGTCTACTTTTTAATATTAAAATCTATATAAGTATACTTTTCAATCCAAATAATCTACTATAATGCTCTTAAGTGAGATTACATCTTGTTTGTAGTTGTCTTTTGCAACATAAATGTTCCCTATGTATTGGCTGAATCTAAAGGGCGGACATGATCAGCTCTATGTCATGATTATAAGAAAAGCTAATCTAGAACGATCGTGGAGGCCCAATGCGCCTTTGTGAAGCTTGAGACAATCCATGACACAAGAATCTATTGTGAACTATGAAAGACGAAAAATGTGAATTTATCTACAAACTTGACTGATATGTGAACTAAGAACTCTTAGCTTTATGGAACTGAGGAATGCTTAACGACAAAGTCAAGGTCTCCTTTCCCTTAATGCTCGCGTATTCCGACAGCAAACAGTATTCTGGTGTTGCTTTTCTTGTGCCAAACTTTCACACGGGACATCAGGGATTTTTGTCCGTATCCGAGAAGGCTAGATCTATGTGTTCGATCTTATTTACCCTAACATTAAGAGTGTGGCTGAAAGACAGCAGTAAGAAGCCAGGACTAGCTGTAGAAAGAGTCAGGAGTAAGGGATAGAGGAGCACAGTGGGGGTTGGGGGTGGGGGAGGGGTGGTGAGAGAATGGAGAGAAAAGCAGATGACAGAACCGTAATAGAAAACAGAGGACACAGGAAACATTTTTAGATAACATATTCCGTCTTTGGAAAGTTTCGACCCAGTGTCCTTTTGATTGAAAGGCGAACACAGTAGGCATACCTTTGGCCCGCGATAGACTACGAGAACCCATAGAGCTGTCTTATATAAAAGACTCTTCAAAACACAAAACCCCAAACAAACAAACAAACAACACGACAAAAACAAAACAAAACACACCAAGATGGTAATAGGAGAGCGCCATTGGTGTGCCCTACTTCTGTTCTCTAAATCTGTATGTTTCTGTCTGTCAGTCTAGCTCTTTAGCAGCACTTAATGACTGTTATCATGTCAATTGCTTCTCTTTACTCACAATAAGAATACAAGTAACAACAACAACAACAACAACAACAACAAAATACAATACAGAATGATTAGGAAACATATATGTCAAAACGTTACAATTATACAAAGAAACAGGCAAATGTTTTCTTTGTCAACTCAGTAGCATTGACCTTTTATAAGACAAATCATCTGGTTTGTTTGCTACTTTCTTTATCCTGGCTGAATAGAGCGACATTCCATTTCCTTTCAGTTCCAGGAAGAGGAGGAGGAGGTGGAGGAGTTGATGGAGGAACGGGAGAAGATAAAGACAACGAAGAAGAAAAAAGGGGACTAAGAGCAGGAGGAGACGGAGGAGGAGGAAGAGTGATATGGAAGAACATGAGAAGAAAAAGACTACTTAGAAGAAAAAAGAGGGGGGGGGGATAGGAGGAGGAGAAAAAAAAAACTAACAAGAAGAAAAGAGACAAGGGGAGAGGAGGAGGGGGATGAAGAGGAGGAGGAGGAGGAGGAATAGGATGAGGATAAGGAGGAGGACAGCAACAATACCACCAGAGTCACTATAAAAAAGAAACAACAAGCACTCTAGCACTAACATAGATAACGGCGAACAGCAAGGTAGCAGCTGCAGCTGTAGCAGGAGGAGTACCTATACCAACACCATCAATGCCACCATCATCCCCTCCAACAACAATGACACCACCACCAACAACAACAGTAACAAAAACAACAACAACAGCAACAACAACTGAGTATGTGATACGCTTGCTGGTTATAAACTCTAATTTCCTGCCGTTAACAACAACATTATTTATGCGTAGTCGCATTTGGTCGAGGGATGGTGATGTTCCCACTAGTGCCAGGCATAGTGATTGACTGTCGGTGAAGATAGCGACCGAGTTGGATGCATCGCACTCTTTGTCAATCCAGTCAATGGCCAACATCGGACCCAACCTGTCCATTGTGCAGCGAGGAACCCCAAGATTTGGAGCACTGGCTGCAGAGATGTCCCCCCACGGAGGCCCGGCGGTGGCATCTCTTCGGGGAGGATTCAGGGAGGTTGGACTGCCTCACCCGCTACCCAAGGGAGGCGGTGGCCCTGGCGAAGAGCACGCTCTTCGGGGCTCCAAACATTTCGAAGGGATAGGCTACCACAGACACACACACACACAACAACAAAAACTACAACACCACCACCACCACCAACATCAACAATGGCAACTGGAGTATGCATTATGATTGCTGGTAAAAAATTCTAATCTACTGCTTTCAATTTGTATCTTTGTGTTTTACGATGTTATTGAGTATGTTTTTCTTCAACTCAGACACAGAACTTAGAGAAGCAACGAAGTCCTGAACTCATTCGTATTGGCTGCTGGCGCAGCGGCTTTATTTGTATAAAGAAAATGTACAAGAATATCTCACATCATACATGCAAACATATTTTCAGCCTGTTGTATCAGTGTTTTAGAAGATCAGAAATCAATGATTTGTAAAATTTGACCAGCTAAAAATGTCCATTTACAGGATCTCTCTCTCCCTCTCTTTTTGCCCCTGTCTCACTCAAACTCTCTCTCTCATTCCCTCTCTCTTTCTCTCTCCCCCCTCTCTTCCTTTCTCTCTCTCATTCTCTTTCTACTCCCTACTTCCTACCCCCTCTCTCTCTATCTCTCTCTCACTTAACCAGCAAAATGTTGGTCACAGATAATTCTGAAGGGTAGGCTAAGCTTGCTGATAGTGGCATTATACTATTCGTTTTTCGCTTTTACCTGCTGGAGATCACTCATTGTCACCACTAGTTACAGGAGTAACCATGCCTCCACTTGCTTCTCTTTGATACAAAAGATAACACGTGTAAACCACCATTGCTCACAATTCTCATTGACATAAATGCCCGGGGTTGTTTTTTTTCACTACAGGCTTTCTTTCCTGAGTACGGCTCTGACAAACAGCTTCCTTACAGTTAGCAATAAAGTGAAGAATACATGTTGTGTTAAATCCTAAACAGTGCACACTAAAATCAAGAACTGATGCTGGAATTATAATAATTTAAGAATGGCTCTGGGTTTTCAGCCAACCCTGACCGGTCGGGCTGCCATATACTCTTTGATTTTGTCGTTAGCTCCAACTTTGTCCCTCAGGGCTTTGCACAATGGATAGTCGTCAACTGGTCCTAGAAAGCTCTTCATCCAACCGGTGTAGACGTCATAGAGGGCGATATCAGCCAGGCTCAACTGGAAATGCAAAACAGTACACAATGTTGACACTGGAAGAGGCCGTTCACGGCACAGGTTTGAGGGATAATATCATGTTTGACTACATCATGTTTTTGTTTTCATGTAGGTGTTTTTACATAGACAGAATGTAAATCATTAATACAAAGTAGGATTTCTCTTTTTTACTTCAAAGAAAACCGCAGTCACAAACTGGGGACATATTTAAAACAGGCACAAAAGGAAAGAACAGTAGCCTTCCACATTAGCCTGAGAAAGAGAGGCAGCAGTTCACCAATTGCTTTTTTTTTTGGGGGGGGGATACATAACTGTCTTCCCTTTTGCAGTTTTCCAGTAGGAAACATCACAACGAAATTACCTCTGGTTGGTGGGTACAATGCTCTGAGATGTCCCTGCTCGAATCCACAGCAGAAGCAAGAGCAAACTTGTGCAAATCACAAATACTGTTCAGATATTATAAGAAAAATGAGCCATTTTACCTGATTTCCGACAACATAACCCGTTCCAGTGGTTTTTAGAATTTTCTCGAAGAATCCAAAGTAGCGAGGCGTAGCCTTTTCCTTGCAGTCTTTAAGCATCTCTGCCTGCAAGTGATAAACAAAAACTCAATGGAAACTCTCCAACTAGCTACCGATCTATTCTACACAACAACAACGACACCACCACCAACAACAACAGTAACAACAACAACCAAGAGAGAGGAGAGAGAGAGAGAGAGAGAGAGAGAGAGAGAGAGAGAGAGAGAGAGAGAGAAGGGATGAAGGAAGGATGACCCTTCTTATAAGAGAAAAAAGTAGGGGCAGGAAGAAATAGGGGTAAGGATTAAAATAGAATGTGGGGTAACTACCGACTACGATGGAGCGAGAGCAGGATTGAGTTAGGGCAGTCATGGAAGCTTTCGGGCAAGAGAAAGTCAGGAGAAAGCCCTGTCAGTGTCAGGCCATCGTCTTTGCAGTCTCAATAACTCAGATGCGAAAGAATTGATGGTGGTTCGCTCCTTCTTTTCTATCAAACATCTTTCATCTTTATCTCTCCTTCTTCTTTTTTGGGTTTTTTTTGTAACACCTCTTATCTTCGGCCCTAATATGACCTAATAGTGATACAAGTACAGTAAAACGTTCACTGAGTGAAGCAAAACGAACAAAAAAACCCCCAAATATTAATGGCAAAAGAGTCGATTGAGTGATTGATTTGAGATAAGCACCAACCTTTTTCTTTTGGTCCTGCTCTTCATCAATCAAAACCGTTACTTGTATGAAGTCCTGAATGAGGTTCACCATCTGTTCGACAAGAAGAGCTTCTTTGTTGTTCTTCCCAAAAAAACCTGCAGGAAGGGGGATAATTCAGTGGGTTATTTTCATGTTAAGAACACAAATCTTTATTTTTTTCTTTTTCAATAAATTTATGAAAACGCGTTGAATAATGAGCATGTGTGATATGGAATCCGCGAGAGTAATTTTCCTTTTATTTCTTACAGTTTGTAAGAATATTGGTGAAACTGTTTCAATATATTGAAATCAGAGCACAACATACACATATTTATATACTGTTTTGTATTATTTCAAAATCTAAAACTTTTTTTTCTTCCTCAAACGTATTTGCACCTGGTATTTCCTTTAGAGCTTTGGGGTATTATATTGGTGGACTGCTAGCTATGTATTATTATGTTCCTCTTTCTGTCTCTCTCACGGGTCTTAGTCTATTGCGTTATCATTAATTGAAAGGCGGCAGCAAACGCACCCATGAAAGATAAAACTTGTAAATAATTGTCCAAACTGACCCCTGTATTAGCCGAAACAGTGTCCCCCTCCTACCACCCCCACCCCCACACTTACAAAACCACTCATAGACACAGCACACACAAAAAACAACTATAGTGCTCAGTAATTGTCAAAAGCAATAAACAACAGCATATTATAAAGCTAAATAAAACAAATCATCATCAACATCATCATCATCATCATCATCATCCTCAGAAATAGCAGCAACAACAACAGCAGCAGCAGCAGCAGTTGTGTTTAAAACAACATCTAATTTTAAAAAAAGACAAACCAACATGTGTCAGCACTGTGTTTAAAAAGCAACTAGATCTATGACTAACGATACAAAATGTCCAGAAAATCAAAATGGATTTATAGCTCTGGCCACCAAAAGTGCCCTTTCTTTCTGCTAACTTATAATTCACTCACCAAACTCCTTGGCAAAATAGTTAGCAATAGCTATTGATTGTGCATAGACTTCTCCATCTACTTCCACCCATGGCGCTGTTCCAAACGGGGCCTCTGGAAAGGAACAAAGAAGGTTCAAGATACTTGAAGATCTGAGCTGACAGTAATTTGGCACGGAATGCAAAAATATTTCAGTTTTTTGATGCGTGGGGAGAAAAATATGACGTACTTAATAAAAGAATTTGAATACTAAGGCTGTGCTGTAAGTCGTAGGTGAAGATCATTGTTATGGATCTAGCATCATCATATTCAAAATAACAACCAAATAAAAAAAGACCAAACAACATGTCTCAGAAATGTATTTAAAAAGTAACTAACTATGACCATGATCAGGGTTGGTGATTTTTTTGATTTTTTTGATAAAAATAAAAAAAATCGTCAGGTTTTTTTGATTTAAATCGGATTTTTTATATTTTTTTTATTTAAAAAAAAATGCCGACTCAGTTTGGGATTTTTGGTGGCTAAAAGTAAGTTCTTTTAGTACAAAATGCATTGTCTTTATTTTAACTAATGATTAATTTAAGCAACTGCAATTTTAGAAAGCCTTAATCTGCTATATCCAGTGAAATATGGCTACAGACAAAAAATGAAGAAAATGTCAGTCTAAAAGGAAGGGGGGGAGGGGGTAATTATGCATAGATAAACTTGCATTTTACTACAGTGTGTGTGTGTGCGCGCGCTTGTGTTTGTATAAAAAGAAAAAGAAAAAGCTAATTTCAATTATGAAAAAAAAAAGTAAATTGAATACAGTAATTATTTTACTACTTACAGTGACAGGGGTGAAAGCAGACTTTTAAGCATGATTATTTTAGTCTACTAAACCTTATATCTGTTTTATAAAACCAAGGAAAGGAATTCTGAATGTTTAAAGATATAAAAACAGAATACATTTTTAAAAAGTGATTTGAGTTTTATTTTTTAAATCAAGTTGATTTAAATAAAACAAAATCTACTGATTTAAATCGACCTGATTTAAATCAACCCAACCCTGGTTTTCAATTATGAAAAAAAAAGTAAATTGAGAACTGTATTATTTTACTGTGACGGGGGGAAAGCAGACTTTTAAACATGATTATATTAGTCTACTAAACCTTATATCTGTTTAATAAAACCAAGGAAAGGAATTCTGAATGTTTAAATATATGTAAAAGCTGAATACATTTTTTGAAAAGTGATTTAAATCACTGATTTTTATTTAAAAAATCAAGTTGATTAAAATTTAAAAAATCAACTGATTTAAATAAAACCAGCTCTGATTTCAATTATGAAAAAAAAAAGTAAATTGAATACTGTATTATTTTACAGTGAAAGGGGGGAAAGCAGACTTTTAAGCATGATTATATTAGTCTACTAAACCTTATATCTGTTTTATGAAACCAAGGAAAGGAATTCTGAATGTTGAAATATATGTAAAAACTGAATAAAAATAAATTTAAAAAAAAATTGATTTAAATCACTGATTTTTATTTAAAAAATCAAGTTGATTTAAATCAAAAAAATCAACTGATTTAAATCAACCTGATTTAAATCAACCCAACCCTGACCATGATTAACGTTACAAAAAGTTCAAGGGGCCATAATGGAGCTCTAGTCACCAAAAAGTCCCCTTACTTTGTGCGAACTTATAATTCACTCTCTAAAAGTAGAATCTATATAAAGTAATCGCTCTGCACCCACTTCAAGAAAATTTAACTTGGGCCGCTGTCATATTCTACCAGTCAAGGCGAACCCGGGATGAGAAGAATACAGCGTCCCAACAGACAGACGGAGTTGTGAGATACGTTCTTTCGTTTTCCGCCACCACGAAAAACCAGTCGGTTTGGGTGTGGGGTGTGTGTGTGTGTGGGGGGGGGGGGTACATCACTCTATCCTTACAGTGCTGATACTGCTTGATAACTAACTCCTACATCTATTTAGGATAAAACGAAAACTATTCTATATCACCTTGGCATTCTGATATGACAGTTATACATTGTCATGCTTTAAAAAAAAAAAAGACAACCCAACCCAACTCAACCAAATCTATTAAAATCTCAACTAAACACACAAAGTCAATAATATCACGTACTCGGTTTAAACTTTGGCCAATCCTCTTCAGAAAACCTAATGTCCTCAAAAGGTTTTCCTGCTGCAGCAAACAACAGTCTAGTCATTTCGGCACGGCCCATCATGTCGAAATAGTAGATTTTGGCTTTTGAGCTGGACATGATGCTGGTTGAGTGGAGATGATTCCAAAAATAAACCGCTTGGAAGGCTGAGCAAACTGAAACAATAAAATATCAAGCTGCTGTTAACATTGGGTCATTCACAATGGGGAAGAACAATAATTTTAAATAAGAATGCAGATCAAGGAAATGAATTTGTTCACACCTCGTCGTGTGGAGACTAAAATACGGGGGCCTTCAAGGTTTAGGTCCCCAATTCAAAACCTGACACCGACGGCAACATTTCTTCTCTATAATTTTCTCTTTTCGCCTTCTTTCAAGCTCTCTAACTCGAACCATATTCTGTCGTCTGCTTTCATCTTCACTCCCCCCGCCTCCCACTTGCTCCCTCCCTCCTCTGGGTTCCTGACTCTTTCTGCAGCCCTTCTACTGCTACTTCTTGGCTCTTTCTTACTGCTGTCTTTCAGCCACACCCCTGGTCTTAGGGAAGGTAAGATCTAAAACCTAGCCTTCTCGGATACGGGCGAAAACATCTCGGAGGTCCTGCATGCAAGCCAAGCACGTTGAACATCTCTTGGTAGTCCTAAAATCGGTAAGGGTAGGCTTCGGCCGCCACCCAGGCAAATTCAAAATTAATTCATACCTAGCTGAAGGTGTTTAATGTGTCCCGCATGCTCATATTATTATGACTTATGCAGTTGTGAGCGCCATGAAACACTTACGGACTAGAATACGATAATAACTATTTTCCGTAAAGCGGCATCTATGCACCAAACCTTTGAAAGAACGGAGGAGGAA